TTATTTATTAAATATATTTTATTGATTTTACAGAGAGGAAGGGAGAGGGATAGAGAGTTAGAAACATCGATCAGCTGCCTCCTGCACACCTCCTACTGGGGATGTGCCTGCAACCAAGGTACATGCCCTTGACCGGAATCGAACCCAGGACCCTTCAGTCCGCAGGCCAATGCTCTATCCACTGAGCCAAACTAGTTAGGGCTGGATTTAGCCTTTTAATTTTAAGTAACCAATCTTTGTAATTTTATACATAATCCAATGTAGTGCTAATATAATTAGCATTTCAGCTTGAAGAGCTGGTAATTAACAGGAATGGAAGCCTTAATGAACAGTCTTCAAACCATGAGACACAAATAAAAACAGACAAATATACAGTAGAACAAAAGCTGCAGACACTCTACTAACCGGGGGAAATAATTGAAGGCTTTACATTCTTTATTATCCATGATGGCTTTTGGAATTATGATTGTGTGACATATAGAACCTTTGATATTTTAGATATAGCCTTTATTTGTGTGGTTTTTTTTTCACAGTAAGTTAAAAATCCACCCTAAGTCTCGGTAAGACTTTACTGTCTTAAAGACTCTAGGAGTCTGCAATGTGATAAAAGAGTAATGTGAAAATTTACTGGATTGCCCTAATTTCATACTTCCTTGTACACAATGAATCAATTTGGAAATCTATTCCAAGGGTTATATACACAAAAGTGTCAAGAATAAAATGTTCTCCACTCTTGCATAAAAATGTGTACAGTGATGAGGAATGGAAAAGTTATCATTTTCCTGGGCCCCAGGCTTCCTTGAGCTCTGCTGCCTGAAGATGAAAGGCTCCTCTGGCTTTATTGCTCTTGGGATTAGTCATCCAGCCCTGGTGTTTCTCCTTGTTGGATCCTGGATGCTATTCTGATGGCTTCTTCCAGAGATGGCTGTTCTCCAAGCTGAACTGCAATCTGGGTACCATTGGATGTTGCCACTAAGGTCAGAGGTCTAGTTTCTTTTTTTTGTTTGTTTGTTTGCCTAGTATAACTTTATTGATCCCACTCCTTTCTGTTTATAGAAAAATCCTTCATTCCTCCAAGTTCTTTTCTTTCTTTCTTTTTATTAATATATTTTTATTGATTTCAGAGAGGACGAGAGAGGGAGAGATAGAAACATCACTGATGAGAAAGAATCATTGATAGGCTGCCTCCTGCATGTCCCTACTGAGGATCGAGCCTGAAACCCCAGCATGTGCCCTGACCAGGAATCAAACTGTGACCTCCTGGTCCTGGCCAGGTTTCTCAGTGGATAGAGCATCGGCCTGTGGACTGAAGGGTCCCAGCTTTGATTCCAGTCAGGGACACATGCCCAGGTTGTGGGCTCCATCCCCAGTAGGGGGTGTGCAGGAGGCATCGGATCAATGATTCTCATCATTGATGTTTCTGTCTCTCTCCCTTCCCCTTCCTCTCTCTGAAATAAATAAAAATATATTAAAACAAACAAACTGTGACTTCCTGGTTCATAGGTCAATGCTCAATCAGTGAGCTAAAACACCAGGGCTAGTAAATGTTTTCTTTGTTTGTTAATTCTCACCTGAGGATATTTTTTTCCATTAATTTTTACAGAGTGGAAAGGGGTTAGGGAGAAAGAGAAAGAGAAGAGGGAAAAATTGATATGAGAGAGACACATCAATTGGTTGTCTCTTGCTTGCTATGTTCTATCCAGGTTCTGTCTCTAGGTTCCGTCTCTAGGTTCTGTCTCTAGGTTCTTCAGCCAGGTTCTCTCGCTAGGTTCTGTTTCTAGGTTCTCGAGGTCTAGTTTCTGTGGTTACTAAGTGATGGCTGTGCTGCTGGTGCCCCATTTCTGACGATTCAGTGTGGAATGCTGCCAAGTCCTGAGCCTCAATTGCAACCTGCTGCCCTTCTGTACCCTCGGCAGTTACCATAGCAACAGAGCGTGTCCCTGCTGAGGAGATGACTGCATCATGAGCAGGGACTGTGATGGGTGTGCCATCCTGCGTTACCATTGTGATGGTATTGCCAATGGCTTGCATGTGAGCTTGAGATATGTTGACATGCTGAGTCCCATCCTGGGATATGAGTGTAACCTGTTGACTCAACCCAGACTGGGTTACCATGGCTACTTGTGTAGACACAACATCATCCCCTTCTACACCTGTGACATATGTGATCTGGGGCCCTTTAAGAACATCTTCACCTTGACCTGGCGGAGGCTCAAAGGCGGCTTCCTGCTCCTCCTCGATTGGCTCTGTGTCGTTGTGGGCGGTCCGTTTGTGCATGGCCAGCGTGGAGATCTGCTTATATGTCTTCCCACAGTGTTTACCGTTGTAAGGTTTGGAATGAGTGTGAACAACATGATGTTTATACAAACTAGAATATTCTGTAAACCTTTTATCACACCCAGGGACTGTACAAACATATGGCTTTTCCCCTGTGTGTATCCTCACATGGTTTTTATAATTGGTTGCACTGGCAAATGCCCTTCCACATCCTGGTTCTGTGCAGTAATAAGGTCTTTCTCCTGTGTGTGTCCTAATATGCACTTTTCTGATATTTGATGTTGTAAAAGACCGACCACAGCCTTCAAAATGACATTTAAAGGGTCTTTCTCCTGTATGAGTTCTGATATGTTTTTGTAGATCTCCTGAAGTTTTAAAGGATTTAGTACAATTATCTTCTGAACACCGATATGGCTTTTCTCCTGTGTGAGTTCTGACATGACTTTTTAATCCATAACCTGTTGCAAATGCTTTCCCACAGCCAGGATGCTCACACTGATAAGGCCGGTCTCCGGTGTGTGACCTCTCATGAACCTTAAGATGATGAGCTGTTGTATATAATTTCCCACATCCATCATATTCACATCGAAACGCCTTCTCTCCACTCTGTTGAGATTTAGCAGTTAGTCTTGCTGCATGTCCTTGTAAGACAATCTGCATTTTTTTCTCTTGCTCATTTTCTCCAATCATTCCAGTACCTGTTATACTTTCACTTCCATCAATGGATACCTTTGCATACTGTTCCAAAGCATTGATGGTTTCAGAATCAATTGTGACATCCCCAGTATGCAGATCTGCCACTGTACCATCAGCCTGAATTGGTAGGATGGTATCAGACTGTGGGACTTGCACTGCTTGGTGGATGTAAGCCGTGGTGCCATCTTCCAGCTGAACTGCCTGTAATGCGCTCTGGTCATAACTATCTGAGGGAATGGAAGAGAATGGCATTAAATTAAAGGTAGTCTGATGAACAGTTACATATTTAAAAGAAGAAGGGAATGAAGTTTTACTGAGTAGTTACACTGAACCCTGACTCATGTGCTTTACATGTGCTATTTCAGTCAATCCTCACGATTCTGTGAGGCAGGTATATTTACCACCCCCACTGTACAAATGGGAAGTTGAGGTTTTGGGAAGTAAAGTCACTTTCCGTAGGAACTGGGAAATAAATAAAATTAATTAATAGCCAAAATCAGTATGTCAAAAAACAAGGATCTGGATTCATGTCAATGTGACTCCAAAGGCCATGGTTTTCCCCGCCTTAAATAACCATACAAAGCTGTACACAGCATTATGAAATAGTAAATCTGTCCAACTAAAATGAACCCATGATTAACTCCCACTGCTAAAGAAAAAAAATATTTTTGGTTAAGTAATTTGTTCAAAGTCACACAGCTAAAGAATAGCTGACCAAGATTTGAACCCAGATATCTTGCTGCAGAGCTGTGCTCATTATACCTCTGAATTCCACCTCAAAGCCCTGGTCCTCACCACATGAAGTTAATAAACGTTAGTATTTTGCTCTATTTGTTTCAGATATTTTAATTTAGTTTTAACACAATAGGCAAAGAAGTTCTATTTAAGAGAGAAAAAAGTCAACAATTTAACTTTAAAATATTTAATTTTATATATATACTAGAGGCCCAGTGCATGACATACATGCACTGGGGGGAGGGGGGTGTCCCTCAGCCCGACCTGTGCCCTCTTGCAGTCCAGGACTTCTCAGGGGATGTCCACTTGCCAGCTGGCAAACAGACATCCCCGAGGGGTCCTTAGTGCTGCTGCGGAGGTGGGAGAGGCTCCCACCACTGCCACTGCACTCGCCAGCCGTGAACCCAGCTTGTGACTGAGCGGTGCTCCCCCTGTGGGATATATGCCAGGTCCCTTGAAACATATGCTGTGCAGATGTTTCTTCCCTGCAGTGACTGTGTCAAGCAGCAAGGATGGACCGGCTTCCAGCAATCATAGGTTTTCCTTTAAAAAAATGCACAAGAATTTCTAAATACAGTGGCATTCCTAAAGGGCTTTCCTTTGATACAAAAAAAAAATTGATCTGAATATAATTGATTATTCATCTTTATGGATAGCTTGCTAAAGGGATTTGGCAGATTGCTAGCTCACACTGACTCAGCTCCTTGACCTGTACCACTGGTCAAATATAAATTAAATGGGCAAGTTATAAATTAAACGAAGTTTAATTCTCTCTCTGAAGAGACCCTCTCCTCCCCTTTCAGAATCTGCATGCCCTTTTCAAATGTAAATCTCTTTAATGGCCAAGTCTCTAATTAGTCTCAACACAGGTTTTACTAGTAAAGTTTTGGTAGTCCACTGGACCCCAGCCATTGGAATATTTATTGAGATTGTGTGTGGAACATTCAAAAGCTTCTCAGAAAGCTGGAATTCTCTTTGTAGCTTTGGTCTAGGATTACTAGGAAACAATGTCCAAAGTGGGACATTAGTGTTTAATGAGGGGATAAATTAAAGTGCCATACTAGCACGTGGAAGAAAATAAAACTCCTTAAGAGCTAGGAATATATGGATCATGTGGCAGGGTCACTATGAAAGGGTAGGGGAACTCCAGTTCATATTCTTTCCCTGAGCCCAAATCAGTCCCATGTGGACATTGTCTACCAATTTTGGAGAAAGGCCCCAATATTCTTCCCTCTGAAGCAGCAGTTCTCAACCTGTGGGTCGCGACCCCTTTGGCAGTCGAACGACCCTTTCACAGGGGTCGCCTAAGACCATCCTGCATATCAGATATTTACATGACGATTCATAACAGTAGCAACATTACAGTTATGAAGTAGCAACGAAAATAATTTTATGGTTGGGTCACAACATGAGGAGCTGTATTTAAAGGGCCAGAAGGTTGAGAACCACTGTTCTGAAGGAAACCCCAGACAGGATTCCCCATTCATGCCATCAAGCTTTTCCTGTCCTGGTTAAAGGCATACTGAGGGAGAGACTAGGGTTCATTCATGAGACCCAAGACCCTGGCCATTTGTCCCCCTCCCTTCTCACCCCAGGAGATGTATGGGGACATCACATCCACAAGCACCCCACTCCACCCCCACCCCCATTTCCATGTGCAGACCTACTTGGGAAAATAGACAAATTGCTGGTAGTCACTCTGAGGAATCCACATTCAAATAGTGCATGGGTATATAGTTTTATTTTACCTGTAACACATTAAAATGTTACCATTAGATATTGAGCATTATTATGTGTTGGTCTCATGTCTGCAGATTTTTAAAAGGTAACAATAAATGGACTTAAAAATGTGACGGAGTAAACATTAATTGTAGCATCAGGACCTAGATTCTAGGTGGCGGTAAAATTCTAGGTAATAGTAAACATTAATTGTAGCATCTAGGTAGGACCTAGATTCTAGGTGGCGGTAAAATTCTAGGTAAAGGTTGTGCTTTATACTTCCACACTAAGAAAGAGGGACAGTGCCCCTTTGGGGTTTGCAGGGGGCATATACATAACAACAGCTCCTTGGTTAATCAGAATGCCGCCAGTTTTGAGCTTTGTATGTCAGGTCCAGGCTATGCTCCGAGCTTGCCTATTTCTTGGTCCTTATCGCCCTGTAGATCTGTTGGGCAAGAGTTATCCATGGTGGATGAGGAAGTTGTGTGAAGTTCACAGAGCAAAACCCCTAGGGCTCTGGAGCAGGACTGTGCCTTCCAAAGCAGAGAGCTCCTAGCTGTTTATCAGCTCCTGGCGTGTTAATTGGCCCTTGTAAATACCAAGCTGCTAACCCTGGGAAGTCAACTGACTAGGTCAGTGGTCAGCAAACTCATTAGTCAACAGAGCCAAATATCAACAGTACAACGACTGAAATTTCTTTTGAAAGCAACATTTTTTAAACTTAAACTATATAGGTAGGTACATTGTTATTAACTTAATTAGGGTACGCCTAAGGCTTAGGAAGAGCCACACTCAAGGGGCCAAAGAGCCGCATGTGGCTCTCGAGCTGCAGTTTGCCGACCACGGGACTAGGTGACTCAAGGAAGCTGCATTAATATCATGCCATGAAGACAGCCTTTAACACACTCAGGGAACAATTTTCAAATGACCTTTCCAATGTTATTACATTAGTAAATCTTCTTTGGTTTGTTGTCTCTTACACATTTGTCCCAAAGAAATCGGGTTCTGTGTTTAGTTCCAACAGAAGACCCAGGTGTGCTAATGACAGAGGGATTAATGTGAACAGGGAGGCACGCGGAGACCACATCATGGAGAGCTTTGTAGAAGGGGACAGGCATTTGGATTTTATTCTAAGTCCAATGAGAAGCCTGCGTGAGTTAATCAGGAGACTGATGATCTAATCTTCATTTTTCAAATAGCCCTCTGGCTCCTATGAAGAGGAGTTGAGAAATGGAGTGGTCCATTTCTCAGTGCTAAGAAGGGGTTCAGAATATGCCACTGTAGCATAAAAATTGGTTTTTTAAAAATATATTTTTATTGATTTCAGAGAGGAAGGGAGAGGGAGAGAGAGATAGAAACATCAATGATGATGTTGCAGAAGACCAAAGAAAAACCAAGCAACGCTTTTAGAGAAAAGAAGTTACACTGTTTAATACGCTGGCGGACTCAGTGGAATAACTTCCCAAATCTGAGTAAAGTAACATGCAGGGGGCTTCTCTTTTATATCTTTCTGGGGTCTTTGTCCCTCGAATATGAATTATGCTTCAGGCCCTTTTCTTGGGGTTTGCAAGAAGGCCCCCAGGTGTTGGGGGTCTCCAGGCCATATCTTATGGTCTGGCCTGGCGCCAGCGTTAATAACCCTCCCTCTGGGGCAGTGCACTGTTCACAGTTTTATGGCCTCTTTAACAGGTTCTGCGAGACCAGTTTCTGGGAAAGAGGTAGTAACTTAACTATAGGTTATCAAGAATGTACACTGGGCTTGCTGGCATGGATTCAGATTGCTAGCCCCTCCTCTCCCTCCCCAAATATCAGGGTTACATTGCAATTAGCCCTTTTTAGCCTTCTCAATGAGAGAGAATCATTGATTGGCTGCCTCCTGCTCACCCCTACTGGGGTTCGAGCCTGCAACCCCAGGCATGTGCCCTTGACCAGAATCAAACCCGGTCTGCAGGCCGACACTCTATGTACTGAGCCAAACCAGCTAGGGCTATAGCATAAAAATTGTTAAGCTAAAGGCACTTGAGAATAAAAGGCCTTTTTTAAAATCCACACTTTATTCCCATTTTCTTAGATTTTTGGTTGTTGCTGTTTTGTTTGTTTGTTTTTAAGATTCTTAGAGAGGGAGAGAGAAACATTGATGTGAGAAGGAAACATCTATCAGCTGCTTCCTGTATGCCCACTACTGGGGATCAAACCCGCAACTGGGCATATGCTCTGACCGGGTATTGAACTAGCAACCTGTCAGGGTGCACGGAAGGATGCCCAATGGAGCCACACAGGCCAGGGCACAAAAGGCTTTTTCAAAATATGTATATATTTTATTGATTTTTTACAGAGAGGAAGGGAGAGGAATAGAGAGTTTGAAACATTGATCAACTGCCTCCTGCATGGCCCCACTGGGGATGTGCTGGCAACCAAGGTACATGCCCTTGACCGGAATCAAACTTGGGACCATTCAGTCTGCAGGCCGATGCTCTATCCACTAAGGCTAAGCCAAACCAAAAAGGGCTTTTTAAATTAACTCCCTTATCTACTAAAAACCAGAGCCTCCTTCAAAACCCAGTAGTCATAAATCCTCTCACCTGGAGTTTTGGGAGTTTCACAACTAGGGAAGATTGTCACAGACATTGTCACAAAACTATCACATCCCCATGTATTTCCCTAGGGTCCCATTTGTTTCACCTAAAAGTCATTTGTTTACCCAGGAGTATCCTTCTCTCACACCCCTTTCCCTCTTAAAACGCTATTTCTACCCTCCTCTTTGAATCACATT